CTTGTTACTAGTCTCTTGTTACTAGTCACTTGTTACTGGTCTCTTGTTACTAGTCTCTTGTTACTAGTCTCTTGTCCTTCAACTCCTTCGATGCTTTTTCAGTGACACCAGTTGAAAATCCAAATCAACAACACAGCTCTTCCTGAGATATGATGATAATAAAGTTGTCTGTTGGTGACACCTTGTGGTGAGATGTTTTACTGCTTCAGCCTTGGCGTCTGATGTGGATTCTAGTGTTTTTATCACATCGGTACCAGTGAAACCGGTTGACAACCTGGATGGACGGGTGGATGGATGAGTGGATGGATGATGGATGGATGGATGGACGGATGGATAGATGGATGGATGGATGGATGGATGGATAGATAAAATTATGTATTATTTGTTATTATTTATTAATCCCTTTGGGAAAACTAGCTAACTAGCTAACTAGCTAACTACTAAACTAACAACGTTTTCTGAAGGTACGACTTCCCACAACGCTGTGTCTAAAAGTGAAGTTGTTCTGGTGTGGACTCACATGATTGGTTGGTTGTTCTTGGTCCAGGTGATGTCAGCAGGAGGGCGTGATTCCACCTCACAAATGAAGGTGGCGTTGTGACCTAGCAGGATGTCCATGGTCTCCAACAACGTGATGATCCGAGGAGCTGGACAGGAAAGACAACCGAAAAGAAACACACTATGATGTTGTTGTTGTTGTTGTTGTTGTGTGTGTGTGTGTGTGGAGGGGGGGGATTGTGTCTCAGTTTATGCGATCAGACTGAAGTTAGTCTGTACTAATTCTTCCTGTTGACATTCCCGACATTCCCATTTTGGACACAGAGTCCTCTGTTGGGGTTGACATTCCGTCTGTGTTGACAAATACAGTAAGAGGTCAGTGTTTTTACCCTGGGGGGCAGGAGGGAGGGGGCAACAGGAACGCAATGATTGGGGGAGAGAAAATCTATTTTTTTCAGAGGTTTTTAGCTGAAACTGGACATAAAACTTCTGGAGTTTTGTTTTTTACTTGAAACCACAACAACCTTTTAAACTCGAGGCCGTAGGACTTCCTCTGGTCAAGGTCTGATTTCATCAAACGAAGATTGATGAAGAAAAAAAGGACTTTTACTGGACTCGCTGACACAAACACAGTCAAAGTTTAAAATAAATAAATAAGATAACGGAGAAAACCAGTAAGTTTTTACTGAGAATGTCCAGGATTGAAGCAATGAAAGAGGGAATTATAATTTCAGCCTTGTCAAAATGGAAAAAGGATCCAGTGGAGCTGTGTCGCCCAGAGAGGATTATTGTATCTGGATCTGGATCAGAGGAACTGGGGTTGTTTTAAACTCTGTACCCACTGAAAAAGGAAGAAGAAGAGAAACTGGAAAATTAGAAGGAAACACAGAGAAACATGGTTTAAAGAGAGAGAATAAAGACCAGGGTTCAGAGGTTCAGAGGTTCAGATGTCTGAAGGTTCAGATGTTCAGAGGTCTGAAGGTTCAGAGGTTCAGAGGTTCAGAGGTCTGAAGGTTCAGAGGTCTGAAGGTTCAGAGGTCTGAAGGTTCAGAGGTCTGAAGGTTCAGAGGTTCAGAGGTTCAGAGGTCTGAAGGTTGAAGATGGGAGATGGGAGGCCATGCCTCCCCTCCCCTTCATCTCAGCCTTCTCTGTTGAGATTATTTTGGTGGGTCGCGGCCCATGATGTGACTTTCTGGGTTTAATTGTCCGTGATCTGTTACATCATCGCCCCCCTCTCTCCGAGGCAGAGGTGGCTCAACTGTAGGATCCCATACCTGGAGTGCCGCCTTGGAGGAGCGGCCAGGCAGCAGGAGACGTGGTTACTGGTGGTTACATGGTTGTTACTAGTCTCTTGTTACTAGTTACTTGTTACTGGTCTCTTGGCACTGGTCTCTTGTTACTAGTCTCTTGTTACTGGTCTCTTGTTACTAGTCACTTGTTACTAGTCTCTTGTTACTAGTCTCTTGTTACTGGTCTCTTGTTACTAGTCACTTGTTACTAGTCTCTTGTTACTAGTCTCTTGTTACTAGTCACTTGTCCTTCAACTCCTTCGATGCTTTTTCAGTGACACCAGTTGAAAATCCAAATCAACAACACAGCTCTTCCTGAGATATGATGATAATAAAGTTGTCTGTTGGTGACACCTTGTGGTGAGATGTTTTACTGCTTCAGCCTTGGCGTCTGAAACATTCAAATGTGAAACATCAGTCGTTTCATTTGTGAAGGAAAAACGGATTCATTTGATTTTCTTTGTTGTTGTTGTTGTTGTTGTTGTTGTTGTTGTTGTTGTTGTTGTTGTTGTTGTTGTTGTTGTTGTTCAGTGTCAGTAAAGTCAATGAAGACACAGATGTTTATTATTATCGTTCGAAATGAATGACTTGTATTTAACAACTGCCCTGAAAGGATTAAACAGTTCCACAGACCTGACCTCCAACAGTTCCACAGACCTGACCTCCAACAGTTCCACAGACCTGACCTCCAACAGTTCCACAGACCTGACCTCCAACAGTTCCACAGACCTGACCTCCAACAGTTCTACAGACCTGACCTCCAACAGTTCTGTGGAGGTGGTCCAGTTGGTTCTTCATGACCCCATCAGCCCATCACACACACACACACACACACACACCACTGAAGACAACACACATTCAGCAGCAGTTTCCGTCTCATAGTCACAGCTTTTCATGAAGCCGGTCAACAGAACCTGGACCTGTGGTTCAGTGGGTGGAACAAAAACCTGTTTGACCTTTGAGACCTGTTTGACCTTTGAGACCTGTTTGACCTTTGAGACCTGTATTTTTTTCTTTCACAGTTTGAAGCAGAAATATATTTATGTTTTGCTCCTGTTGAACAGAGGTTAGTCAGACCAGGACCAGGACCAGGACCAGGACCAGGACCAGGACCAGGACCAGAGTGACCTTTTTCAATTTAACAACTCTAACGTCTAACGTTCGATACCCAGCTGTACTTGTTTCAAACACACACACACACACACACACACACACTGCCAGTCCGTGTGGTCAAACCTACCTCTCTGTACACTGTGGCTGGTGTGGACCAGAACCAGTAGAACCTGGAGCTCAATGACCCAAACTAGTCCCACGCTCTTCATGTTGTCTCAGACTGAACTGGATCAGAAGAAGAAGAAGAAGAAGAAGAAGAAGCTCCTGTTGATTCACTCGCTGTGTTTCTGCCCTCTGTGGAGCCGTGTGTGTGTGTGTGTGTGTGTGTGTGATGGACAGCGGCAGCTGCTGGATGTCCCCACACACACACACACACACACAAAGATTCATCTACATTTACACGAATCCATGCTACACTAACTTCAGACTAACTTCAGACTAACTTCAGACTAACTTCAGACTAACTTCA